TGTTCCGTGTATTTGTCCGACTGATATCAGAACAGAGGATTATATGATCACTTATCTTAAATGGCGTACCATCATCTTCTCAGTTCCGAGAAACCTTGAAAAAAGCTACGATTGCTGATCGGTTCCTGAAGTCATACTTGCAGTAATAGTTATTAGACTTATCCAAGTGGGAGACTGTTGGATAAGGTGTCTAAGTCCATAACTATTTCTGGTATGTACTTGACCCGACCCGGCATGGTCCATTTGGGTTGCATGGCACCATGCAATTGGATAGACTAAATGAGAGAAATAACACTTGGAGATTATTAATATATTATAAGTTCTAATATATTAATAATATTATTTGATTAGTTTGATCAAGAATTAATTTAGAATTAATTAAGTGATCAAAAGATAACTAATTAAATATATGGGTTGATTATGTAAATCATCCATATCTTGTATAGTGGGCTAAGAGGCTCCATGGACTATCAAGTTGGGTTCCGCCCATAGGATGCTTCATGGATGCTCCATGGGAGTTACAAACCCATGGGTCATGGAAATGAAGAGTCATGACACATTAGGGTTTACATGGTGTAACCCTAGATGTGTCAACACTATATAAGAATCATATTCTCCACCAAAATCGGCTACACTAAGGAAACAAGAGGGCTTGGCCGATTTCAAGAAGTGTGTGTTCTCTCATAAGTTCTTCCAAGAGCATTTGGTGTTGTGTGAAGCATTTGAGGCATCACACTTGGGGTGCTAGGCTCACAAGGTTTCAAGGAACACAAACAACAACAAGGTAAGTTATTCTATCTATTATTCAAGTTAAAATTGTTCCCCATGTATGCTAGATAGGAATATAACCTTGGAATTCAACTTTGCATGATAATTAGAAAAACATAGATCCAAGGTTATTAGGGTTGCATGTACACTTAGGAAGTGTTAGAGTGCTCAAAACCCATCAATAACATGGTATAGGCACCCATTGACAGCCACCAAGTAAGGGGAAACCTGGGCTACCATGTATTACAGACTGTTAGTCATATGAGATTTGGAAAGGAGCTCCAAAGATTCAATGGTGGCCGAAGGAAATGCGTGAAGGCTCCACTTGTATGCATCCGAATGTTGGGTAAGTAAAGACTCCCGATTGAGCGTTCACTCTAGGAGAAAGATGTCGAGAGACACCAAAGCTGGAAGGGAGGAGCTTGTAACAGCATTGTCCGTCATCAAATATGGATAAAAACCAGGAGCAATTTGGAAGCCAACCTCTGGATTCCTTATCAACTCGCAATCACCATGAGCTCTACCATCCTTTGGTTATTCTTATGGTTAAAGAGGTGGTTCTGTTGCCTCAGTATCCATCCCCTCCGACAAGTTCAAAGCATCCACATCAAGGATGGTAATAAAAATGTCGGTCTTCCCCAACAGGAAGTTGACGTCCCGTATCTTACAAAGACACTTTCCAACGGTGACAAAATCAACATCTCCGCCAAGTGGGTGGGTGGGTGGGGGGGGGTTACCCAAGCTATCCATCATTTGGTTGTTGGTCGGCCACCACCAACCGCCACCTCTTTCATTGACTCATCTCCAGAATCCTAAGGCGTATTATCGTCACAAGAAACACCCTCGACAACTAGATCCTCCAAAATTGGATCAACCTGAAAACTAGGCCTTTAATTCCTAGCACAGGGGGTGCGCCAAGCACCTAGGCTCGATTGACGCTAACGGGGGGTGGGAGAATCTCCACCAAATGTAACTCGCGATACTGAAGATCGCCCTTATATTTTCTCCGCATAACCGCTTCAAAGGGCAAGATCCTCTCATGACCTGAAAAAACAAGGGATATACGAAACGAGTAAATTGCTTCCTCCCCCCTCCCCCTTAAAAAAATATACATCTTTTTGGGGAAGGGGGGAGGGGGAGAGGAAAATAGCACTTCCCATCTTTCTCCACAAGGTACCAAGGTATCATCCATCGAGCCCTCCAAGAGAAACTCATCCCTACCACAGCTAGGATATGATCCTCCCAGTCTTCCCCGATAAAGAAGACCCCCTCAGCGCCTGCGCCACAGTTAGGCTAGTACCGTAAAGTTAAGGCGATAGTCGTAACCAACCAGGTTATGATTCACCCAAAGCCATTTGTCTTGCCAGTTCTTCTTGGGTGCTTTATGGTTAACTATGAATTCATGGACGCCCTAGCTATAAGATAAGGTATGAAAACCATATTAGGTGGAAGATTTGAAGCAGGCTTTGAAAGCCCAAAACTGAGGCACTACTCCAAGGTCTCGATAGGCCCGTTCGAAGCCCACAATCTTTTTGACGGTGTTAGGAGTCAGAACATCCATGGAGAAACCATATTTTAACATGATCTCGTAAAAAATCAATTTTTGGCAGCCTCAGGCCAACCTCGAATATCAAAATGGGGACTCCGACCTTACCTTCTGGTGGACGAGAGACGATCGCCCTTTTCTAGGGATATTGCACCTCGTCTTTAGGCAAGGAGCTGAATCGGGCTTGCAAGGTCTCGAACTCACTTGGAGTTGGCTCAATTCTATTTAGCTATGTTGACATTTCCCTTTGAGAGCAAGAGTAGAAAGGAAGGAAGGGTAAACAAAGAAAAGTTTGGAATAATTGAAGAATGAAAGTGCACAGAGTAAAACTATCCTTGATAAGGGAAGTTTTAAATACAAAGTGTGATAATCGAACAATTACCATGATGAAACTGACTGCGCAGACAACTCCATCACATTAATAAGCATCAGGGCCATCTTCTCCGAACACATGTCTTGATATAAGCTAGAACAACTTAGCTACACTAGGCCAACATTAACGTCTACAAGCCTAGGGGACTTGTTATCCTACTAGGAATACATTAAAGCTAACAAAATTTCTATCTTAGGATGACCTACCTAATGGTCGCAAATCTGTTGTAGCGCCAGACCTAGGCCCTTGCCCTCATTCTAGGACCCTTCATACTTGGCGCTCTCACTCTCAGGTCCAATTATGGATGACAATCTTTGGTTTATAATGAGACAAAACAAAGTTGGTTGTTTCACAGAGCGATAAGTGTAGTGCCCAGAGAACTATCCTCTGTTTACTCTGCATCTATAACAGATGACCACTAATGGTGCACGATCCACCAATAGGGATCCTCCATGTCATGTCAGCTAAGACAAGACGAAGGACACCATTGGGATCATGCACAAGTAACAACAGGTCCAAAAGGATCCCTTTTCTCTTGAAGAAGGGATCACTTTCTCTCCACCGTAAAACCCTAATCTCCTAATTCTCAAACATACACTAATTAGGCCATCGAAGCTTCATCTCGGGACCACCTCCCTAACGCCGACCGAAGCGATCTCTTCATTGATGCGATTACAAGACTCAACTCAACTGGAACCATCGAGTGAAGTTGTCAAGTCCAAAGAACATATCACAACAAGTTGATTTCTTGATGATTTGTTAATATATATGTTAACATATCCCTCTAGGAATACGTCAAAGATAATGAGATGGAAATCTAAAGGACGACTTAGCTAATGGCCGCTACCCGACATAAGTGCTAGGCATGGGTCCTCTCCCTTGCAACCTTATATTTAGACCCCGAAGCTCTAGCGGCAAGGTCCAACTCAGAGTGTGAAACTCTAGTCTATAACAAGCCAAAACAATACTAACCGCTCCCTAAAGCGACAAGTGGCATGCTCAAAGCGCTTCCCTTCGGTAGTTTTGCACCAACAGTAGGTAACCTCTAGTGGTGCACGATCCGCCAATAGGACGCCTCCACATCCTATCGGCCCAGACAAGACAAAAGGTACTCTCAGGGACATGCTCCCATGATGACAGGTATAAAAGAAACCATTCTTCTCTAGAAGAAGGGATCAACTTATTCTCTACCTTAAACTAAACCCTAATTCTATCATCCCATTGCTGACTAGACTGTTAGAGCTTCATTTCGGGATCCCCTCCCAGACAATGACTAACGTTGGTTCTTTCTTTATAGTGATTCTCAAGCTTAACCAGGATGGAGTTACCCCATAACGACATTAAGCTCGAAGCACATATCACAACATTTGGTTCCATCTGGGCATGTACTCAGAGTTACACAACCTTGATACGACCCTAGACGTCGGCGATGACGAGAAAGGAACTTACGGTATCCGGCGGAGGAGAAACGAGTCCACTCTGGCCAATGTTTTCACTAGATGGCACACCGCCTCCTGGGTCAGATGAACAAGCTTTCATCCACATTCCAATAGCACAAATATTTGGTACGATAATGGGAATTGCAGCAGCGATAATCACTGCCCTATGTCGGCCATCACCCGTCATAACAGAGTAGCCGGTTACAACTACGACCACAACGCCTCAGCTGACAGCTACTCAGCAGTCGTAACCACTAACTCAGCAGTCATAATTGTCAACTCAGCAATCGCAATTGGTGGTTTCTCAGCTGCAATCACTACCACAGCAGGTGAGGACTGTTAGAAATAATAAAGATTGATAGATTCTGTATTATGTAACAATGTAATGACAAGAAAAAATATTGATCAAAAGGATGTCGAATGATTATTAATCACAACAATAGAATAGTTCTTTAAGGCATAACTATTATGTACTTGCTTCAAAAGTTGTTAACCTTAGAAGATACATGCACACTATTTATAAACTAAATCATATAACAATTTCGAACATTGACGGCCCCATTTTGGAATCCAAATCTAAACAAAAATACGCTAAACATTTGACACAACAATTAAGTTAGACTTAACAATCTCCCCCTTTGTGTCAAATCGGAAGAAGTTCTTCATTGTTGTCTTTGCGTGTCAAAAAATCTTTGGCATAATCCTCAGAAGTGAGCCCCAGATAGATAAATACCAGCGAATCATATCAGAAACACATTTGATGTCGGCAGTAGAGTTAGCTTTGTTGGCTTCAGCTAAAGAAAGGATTGATTTAAGAGCATTCGTGGAATACAATTGTTTATCCCTTAAGAAGAACATGCGGTTCTGGATCACTTTACCTTTTTTTCCTTTTGTAAACAATGCTCCAATGCTTCTTTTGAATGACCCCTGCCTTCAAATGTTGGATGTCTTCCGGTTGTTCATATGGCTTTAGAATAGGCCTCTTCTTTTGAACAGAAGAAATCTTAACATCCATTTTTTCAATTTCAAGGATGTAACACATAATCGTCCGCTTCAAGTGTTCGAAAATTGGCTCATACTTCTTGACATATCCAGCCACAATGTAAAATAGAGATAACCAATCATAAGGGTTCATGAGTGACAGATAAGCCAAAGTGAACTCTTGAAGGACATGATTGGTACTTCAGAATCCATTGAACTGTATATTCAAGAAGTCTTCAGTTCGAACCAGTAATCCAACCTTCAATCTCATAATTCTCTTTAAAATCCATGTATCATACTGTGGTTTCACATATTTCAAGTAAAAATAACAGACCTTTCGATTTACTGCACCATCAGAGATCATGGATTTCTCAATCTTCTCAAAACACCTAAAAAGATAAAATGTTGGAGTGATGGGAAAATCAAATTGAAATTTCACATCATTATTTAAGTCAAAAGAGATTTTTGGCTCCAACCAATAGAGATTCGAATCATGAATGGCTTCTTTCTGTATACACTCATGAGACTAAGCAGGAAACAATGATTTATAAGTTTCAAGAACTAGTTTTGCATTTTTGGCTTCAACTTCTTCTGCCTCTAATTTCTTTCGAAGAGCATTGAGTTTTTCAAGCTCTTTGTCTTTTTTCTCTCTTTCCGCTCTTTCCGACCCAGTCAAGCTCGCATCTTCATCATTTTCTTCTTCAGAATTACCTTCACCTTCATCTTTTTCTTATTCAAAAGCTTCTTTATCCTTCCAATCAGTCTCATTCTTTAAATTTTCTTCCTTGTCTCCCCTTTGTTTCGCAGAAGCATCACTTTCTGAAACACCCTGTAACTGATTTAGAACTACAAATACAGGCTGAAACTTTTCAGAGAGATTCTGTCTAACAAAGATAGTGAAGGAAGAATCACAAGTTTCAACAATTCGCAAAAAGCGTTTATTGATTTCAGAAGTGCACCCTTTCACTAAATATATCTCTTTTTCAAGTTTGAAAATGTTCTGGTAGCATTCTTCAACTTTTCAGTAAGAACGTTGGTATTCTGCCTCTGTTCTGCCAGTGCATCCATAATCTTGTTTTCAACAGCCAAATCATTTTGTAACTTGGTGAGCTGTTGAGAAATTGATAGATTAAGATCAGTGTTATCAAGCTTGATGCATGTCCAGAGTTTGGAGAGAGCTTCTTTCTCATACTTCAATGAAGTACGAAAACCTTCGATAACTTTGTTAATATCATCTGTGTTATTTTCAGAAGAGGTCTTGAAATCAACCATAAATTCCTTAACTTCCTTTTATATCTGTTGGACCTTTCTGAAGCTTTTGTGATCCTCTTTTCGGAAGCTTCAGCAGCTTTTGATGATTCTTCAAGAACTTTACAATTTGAAGAATTAAGAATTTCCATAGTTGCTCGATGAGTTGTGAGCAAAATTTTCCATTTTGAAGAAAAGAAGGCTTGGGAATACTCCAAGATGGAATCAAGCATCTCATTCAATAGCTTGAATTGCCTTTTTGTCATAGGCGCTTCGTCATCATCGTTGGAAAGATTTATAGAGGATGGATGAAACACAAACTCTACAATCGGTTCTTGATCGTCTCCAAAAAAATATTTCATTATCATCATCAAATGGAGTAACCAAAGACGAAGGTTGTTCGTACGTCTCACCAATGTTAGCATTTTTCCCCACATTGGATGTGTTGCCTGTGATGTCAGAACTCCAGATCTCCTTTGAAACAGATTTGAAAGAAGGAACTTCTGGTGGAGTAGAGACTGTTGAAGTTGTAGGAGGGGTTGAATCTATAAAGATAGGTGAGGATATATGGATTGAGATCTGAGGAAGTGATATTCCAACAGAACTCGTTGGTGGTAGAGGCAGGATGGATGTTATCGGAATTGTGGAGAGGATTGGTGAAGATGTTATTTGTGATGTTGGTGGAGTGAATCGAGGTGAAGGTGGAGAGGTGGTGAGATTTTGAAATGGATTCTGCATAATGTTATCACATATCTCTGGTTCCAGAATAGAAGATGTTGGAGGAGAAGATACCTTCGAAATATTTTCTATTGGGGTGGATTCGGAATTTACAACTATATTTTCCTCTTCATTTCGGAGTGTGTTGTCCTCCTGAACTTCAGTGATGGTTCTCTCTTTAGATTCCTCTTGAATAACCAGATATGGAGATTTCTGTTTCTGAACCGGGTTCCTTGAGCTCTTAGGAACTTTGATACTTTCTGAAGTAGTTGCCTTTGCTTTCCTTTTTCCTCCCCTATTTGATTTATCACTCTCATCTATTATCTTTTCTAATTCCACTGGAATGGGACGAACACCAGAAGAGGGCAACTTCTGATAAGCCTTAATAATGGTATTGTCCATTGCAACCTTTTCCAACATAGCATCATGAATAGAACCAACAAACTTGAAGTTCCTTGGATCCGACATAACAAATGTAGTCGTCTGAAGGATCAAAATTCCAGCCATGAGAGAGAAGTTCATTAGTGGAACCTTGAAGTGCGTTAGGGCTCGGTTCACTACTACTGATCAGAAACACGCATAAGAAATTTATGTGTGTCGTGTAGATGAAGTGGTGATTTGGATAAACTGAGTCCAGATTACAGACCCACAGTCCAGGTTGATTCCATGGTAGAGGCCATATATCAAAGTATATAAATGCTTACTGGAAATGTTAGACCTCGTGACCCTTTCTAATAATCTTTTTAACCAAAGGGTAAATAATCCATTCAACATCGGCAACAAGGACTTTCTGAACTTGGATAGCAAGGAGATGTTGCCGGTGTACCCCATCTGGTAGAACATTTCGATCATAGAGGTTGCATGAATTTATTTAGGATCGACACTGACTTCTGGTGCAATGAGCCCTATAAGTTTGCAGAAGCGGGGGTTTGAAATCGATGTTTTGTGGTTGGCAACCTTGAAGTGGATAGCATCTTCAGCTTTGTTGTAGAGAGCAGTAGAAAAGGCTTTAGAAAGATAAACCGATGTAACTTATTCAGGCATTGTTAATGCCTTCACTAGTGGCGAGAACTAGGGACATTTAATCATGGTCCTAATTAGGGAATTGTAATGAGAAACATCGAAGTCGATTATCATGTTCTGGTTGGGCTTAATAGTATGCATGATGACTGATGCGGACTGATCGGCAAAGGAAACATGCTTTGATGAACCGGCCATTGATGCTTTGAGAAAGATGATGAACAGTAGAGAATAAGAGTAGTTTTTTCTTTGAAAATTTGAGAGTTGTGTTTGCGTTAAAGGTAAATTAACCATTTGATAGCCTTTTATACGAAAGATGATGAGTGGAAAGAGAAACTGCCGTTTGTCATTCCTATAACGCCGAAAAATTAGCCAATAAAATAATATCAACTCATCAATGAATGTCAGTAACTGTTACAACAAGCATGCGGTGTAAGGAAAATTCAAAAGTCACGCCATGATTTGAATTTTCATTTATGGGACAAGGGGATTCCGGAATCTTCATGTTCGGAATCATTAATCATCCATCAAAATTATAATCAAGATTCAATCTTCTGAATTAAAGTGATCAATCGAAACAGTAACCAGACTTTGTAAAATCACAAGGATTTTAGTGCAAGAGTGTGCCAAAGAAAAAGAAATAAAGCAAATTTAATATGTGGGATTCTGTGATATCAAACAATTTTGATATGAAAAACTGGTTGATCTCGGGCAACGATCTCTTCCTTCTGAGTCAAGAGAGACCCCGAAGTGCTTGTGTGGTTTCCCGTTGAATTACGATCACCAAATTATTGAGAAACTGTGAAAGGCTTCTTTTATTAAGGCTTAAAGGGTGGCTTTAGGTTCAAACAAACTCTGAAACTTAATTTAAGTCTGAAGATCTGAAAGAAGTACTTTTTTGGCCAGTGTATTCATAAAAGGAAGTAAACTTTGAATATCCTTTTAATGTAATTGGGTATTATGGAAAATCTTTATTCCAAAATCTCAAAAAAAACCCAGATCTTGTTGGGAAGAAATGTCTTAGGTTGAGAACATTTCATTAAGATCACTGAAAAAGAAAATTGAGATTTCAAATATTTAAAGGTACAAACCAAGTGGTTTTATATGTCATTTCATTGGGTATATACATAGAACACCAAAGTGTTCACCGTCAATTCATAAAAGGAATTTGGATTATTGGGATTCACTCGAAATCATGGTGACAGTGATTTTAAGATCATAAACACAGATGTATTATAACCTAAACCTTAGTGGTAAAACCGAGAGTCTTAAGGGTTATGATACATAATAAATGATTGGTAGATGAATAGTTGGGAGTTTCACCAAAATTATGTGGACAATAATTTTAAGATCATTAACTAGAGTTTTTAGCCCTATACCGAAATTGGTTTTATTCCGATAGTCAAGGAAAATACATGAAAGTTGTGATGAGATATGGTAGAAATAAGTGATTAAGTCAACCGTCAATTCCTTGTTGTTGACTAAAATTCAAAATTGAATGTTGATTCTTCGAAAAGAAAACATTTTTGATGTTTTTGATTTTTCAGAACACAAAAAAAAAAAAAGTTTTGGATGTTTTTGAATTTTTGAAAAGAAAATACATAAACAAATTAAATGTTTTTGGTATTTTGATTTTCTGAAAAGAACGAAACTAAAGAAATGGAAAGAAGTAAAGAAAATAACAAAGAACAAAGAGAAAAGGTTCCGAAATCCTAATGAACAGTAACTTTAGAACCATTCCGAATATCGGAAGAAGTCGAAAGTGAACAGTGAATTACGAACCATTCTGAAGCTCGGAATCATTCGGAGTGTGAACAGTAACTGTCAAACAATGACGATTACGAAGTGGGTTTCAGAATTTCGTCGACTTCAATCATTCCCAACCCTTGTAGAATTCGATTAAATGATACTTCTGGTAATGCCTTCGTGAATATATCAGCTAATTGATCTGAGGAGCGAACAAAGTGAACTTCCACATTTCTTTATTCAACGTGATCCTTAATAAAATGATATCTCCATGCTATATGTTTTATCTTGGAATGTTGCACTGAATTGTGACAGATTCTTATGGCACTTTCGAAATCACAATATAGAGGAATTCGCTTCATATTGATTCCATAGTCTCTTAGCTGGTTCTGAATCCACACCACTTGGGATATACATGATTTTGTTGCAATGTATTCTACTTCAGGTGTAGATAAGGACACACAAGTTTGCTTCTTAGATTGCCAACTAACAAGCTTGCCATCCAGAAACTGACATCCACCTGATGTGCTTTTTCGATCAAGACCACAACCTCCTAAGTCAGCATCGGAGTACGCTTGTACAAAGAATCCATATTTTGATGGATACCATAAACCAAGAGAAGTAGTTCTCATCAGATACCGGAAAATGTTCTTAACTGCCAACATGTGAGGTGCTCAAGGATACGATTGAAACCTGGCACAGTAACACACAACATTATGTTGGGACGACTAGATGTTAGATACAATAAAGATCCGATCATCTGACAAAATAAAGTGATATCTGATGTTGGTTTATAAAGAGAAGGATTGAGTTTCGTTCCGAACGCCATAGGGACTTTTAGTTTTGAATCACCCACCATTCCGCACTTAACTATTAAATTCTTTGTGAAGGCTTCTTTATTGATGAATATTCCCTCTGAAATCTGTCTTATATTTAAGCCATTGAACTCATTTCAAATTTTGTTTCCATTAATTTTTGAAACTCAACAGTTAAGTTGGGATTTGTTTAACCGAAAATGATGTCATCAACATAAATCTAAACTATCATTAAATGGTTACCCTCCTTCTTCCGAAAGAAAGTAGGATAAACATAACCTTTTTTGAATTTGGACTGTTTAAGAAAATGACTGAGATTTTCATAGCATGACCTCAGAGCTTGTTTACGACCATATATTGCGTTTTCTAGAATATAACAGTGATTCATAAATTTTTCAATCACAAAACTTGGAGGTTGTTCAACCTAAATTGTTTCTTAAAATTCTTCGTTCATAAATGCACACTTCAAATCCATTTGATATACTTAAAAGTTTTTGAGAGCAACATAGGCGAGAAATATGCGAACTGATACAAGTCTAGCCATAGGTGTGAACGTCTCTTCGTAATAGATTCCTTCTTCTTGATAGTAACCTTTAATGGCCAAACGTGCCTTATTGCGAATGACATTTCCTTCTTTATCCATCTTATTCCTGAAAACCCATTTAATTGCAACCACAGATGCATCTATTGAAGTAGTAACTAATCTCCAAACTTTGTTACGATCAAACTCATTCAGTTCTTCCTGAATAGCTTGAACCCAATCTGCATGATTAAGAGCACATTTAACAATTTTAGGTACAATTTTTGAAATAAAAGAATTAAACATGCAAAATTACAATTTAGAAAATAATGTAGTTTGGTTCGCTTTTTCTTGAGCACGTGTAAGAAATCCTAATGAAGAATCTCATATCACTTGAGACGAAGGATGAACTTTAGCTATTTTGTCATTGGTGGATAGTTCTGATCATAGGCTGGATCAATTTCAGCAAAAATTTCTTCAAATTCTGATGCATCCGAATCATTATTTTCATTATTATCCCCTTAGAAATTTCCATGTGACCCAACATTCAGAATTTAATTCATCCCCTGGAATGGAACATCGGTATTAAAGATTGGAGTGGAACCCTCCCTTGGATTGGAACATCATAAGGTTCTGGCTGAGGTACATTCGAAATTGGTTGCTCATGAGGATTATCTATATCTTCACCAACTTCATCAACAATCTTGATTAATTCATCATCATGATTGTCCTTGGCATTTGATTCTGAGGAAATCTCCTTTTCAGGTTCATCAAACAAATTTAGAAAATCCTCATATAGATTCATAAGAGGAATAGTCTTAGAACTTGTTGATGGAAAATTTTCCTCAGATTGACAATCTTCTTTTTTATATTTCTTCATGTAATTGTCATCAAACGTAACACAGTAACTTTCTTCGATT